GTCGATTCCCCGATTCTTCAATCTGAGCTGCTATACATTACTCCATCGTGGCTCCCGAAAATAAGAGATTACCAGCAATACATTTTTGTAAACATTTAAGAAAATAAGAAATTAGCAGCAATGCAAGGAAAAAAATATTATCAACAATGCATTTTTAAAAAAAAAAATCAGCAATACATTTTTGTAAAACAAATTACTAATTAAATTTTGGCATTAAGGGTGTTGATATGTCACTAAACAAACAAACAAAATAAATAGAGATTACTCTTTTCATTCATTAGAAACTGCCTTCCAAATTCCGAATAGACTGAATGTATTGATTCAATGGAGGTACTCTATCGATCTACAGAATCTTACATATCTGGCGAGGATGCCAATATAGAAACATTTCAAACCTCAAGAGGAGTTCGACAAGCGAGAAATAAGGGCTCCAATTATTTAAGCATTGTATACCATATATATCAGGTAGAACTCCACTTTGATCAAAGATGACAAATGTTCATCAATTAATCTGGTTCTATGGGACGTTTTTTTGGTCTTCATAAACAAAAATAACTGCTCACAGACATATGTAGAACCAAACACTGCCATAATCTTTTTTATGAATGCAAACTGATGACTTTGATCCGTTTGAAACACCTGAGGTCTTATTGAAACACCTTTACTATTGTTCCTCAATTCAAGAAAGCCACTCAAGGTAGAGGCCAACATGCATTTCCAACAAGAAAAGCAACATAAAAAATGTTACCAGCAATGCATTTAAAAAAATTACCAAAAAAGAAAATTAAATTTTGGCATTAAATGACCCATAATGAATTGACATGTCACTAAACAAAGAAAATCAGAAGAGAATACTCTTCATTCATTAGAAACTGCCTTCCAAGTTCTGAATAGGTTGAATGCATCTGTCAAATAGAGATAGTCTATTACATTACAGAACTTCAAGAGGAGTACAACAAGCAGGAAATTAGAGCCCCAATCATTTAAGCATTCTATACCATATCCTAAACAAATCTATCAATAGAAAACATCCCTCCTGCCCCACCTCTCTCTCTTTTCTATCTCTCGAGGTTAGTGTGCTGATGATGAAGGGGCTATGCTGATGGCATAGGTATTCATATTTGGCATAAGAACAGAAAATCAACTTTCTCTAACCAATGTCACAAGAAAGAGGACTCAAGATAAACCTTTCCAAAACCGATACTATGATCTGGAATTGGAATGAAACATTGATGGCACTTACCCTGAATTCATTATGTAACTTCATGATGTGAAATTAGTAAATATTAAACACTTCAAATACTTCGGCGTATGGATCAGCTATAACGCATTTAATATAGGAGATACGGAATTTGGACATGAATGGGCTGTTCCAGAGGTAATTTCGCCCAACTCCGCAAAGTGCCAAAATATATAAATCAGTTATGGAAACTCTGTCTTGTTCTTTAAGACCGAGTTGTGACACAAGTCAAATTTTGAAGGTGGAGACCGACCACGTACACCCGGGCCAAATAAAAAATGCCCGGAATTGACTCTGTTGTCCCAACTAAGATGCGACATAAATCCCTCTTTTTTGCAATGAGAGGGCGCGAACTCGAGCACGTACCCCAGGACTAGACAACAATAATTTTCGGAGCCCCGGCTCTGTCGGTTGACGAAGACGCCTCGAATTGAGAGATGGTAAATAATGTGAAAGAAAATGAGAAGAAAATAAAGGTACAGATAAAACTGTGGGGAAAGAAAGAAAGAAAAAAAGAAAGAAAGAAAGAAAGAATGAATGAATGAATGAATGAATGAATGAAAGGAAAAAAGAATGAAAAAAGATGGAATGAAGGAAAGAAAGAATCTAAATGATCAATTATATTATAACAAATTTTTGGAGAAAATCAAAGAATGAAAGAAAGCTTGAGGATAATAAAAAAAAGCATTCTTCTTTGAATTTATTCTTCACAGAGTCGAAGTCCTTCAAACCGTTAGAGTGCAGCATTTAAATGTTCCACAACAATTTCTTCTTCTTCTTCTTCTTCTTCGAATTATTATTATTTATATTAATGAACGTTGTTTTTCCTCTGTCCCTCTTGGACCGGTCAATATGTGGGGAATTAGAGCAAATGACTTTCCGCTCAAAACACAAAAATGATAATAGATTCAAATAGAATGGTTTGCTGTTATAAGTTTTCAAATGCTCTACCTCTACTTTAAGTTTGACCATCGTTACTGTTTACATGTTATATCCAAGACAAAATCCAATACGACAAAATAATAGTTGCAAAAAAAAGAGGGCCAAAATGCAACTGTTCACTTTCAGAACAACTAAAGGACAAAATGAAAGAAAAAAGAATGACAGAAATACTATGGTCTTAGAATGAATGTTTTCTACAGATGAAATTGTGGCAAACTGGAAAGACATCGTCAAAATCTGTTTGAATAAATCGAAATGGAAAGAAAGAAAGAAAAACAGTCTGGAATGGCTCATGGTTGAACGAATTTGGAAGAAATTTTCCGGTGTCAATTTTCCGTTGCATCATTTTTCTGGGAAAAAATGGAGAAAATATCTGTAGAACAGAAAAACATTTTTTTTTTTTAAAAAGAAAGATTTTTCAAGAAGGTCCTGCTGTTTTAACTCATATAAATATGATAAAAAAATGATATTTGAAAGTATTTTCTTGAGAAAAAATGTTCTATTTAATTTTAAGCATTTTTCGGAACCGATAAAATCAACTGCATTCTTTTAATGTTCTTAGAGAATTTATGCAAAGTTTATTTTTGTTTTTCTTTATACAAGTAAAATAAATTTATCATATTTTGATATTATGATTTTAGTTTTAGTGATAATTTAAAAACAATAAATATTTATCATTAGTACCAATAATGGAAAATTAGTATTAAAAATGTATTTCGTTTTGGAATCGGCCAAATTTTTCCATTTATAAAAGTATATATTTTAGATTCTCGATTCGATTCCGATTAATCGTCTCTTAGTAAATATATTCAAACTATATCTCTCCTCAATGGGAAATTGTATCTTCATTGATCTTCACAGGCAAGACTGAATTTTCTTGCATTTTCTTCGTATTTATTTGTTGTTATTAATGATGCAGAGTTAAAACACCATATCATCCGATAAAATGTTACAACAATGTCTCTTGTTCTAACCAAGATTCCTCCAACTTCTTCACATCTGAAAACATTGCTACTTTTCCTCCTCCAAATTTCCCGACAATTTCTTAGAAAATTTCTGACGTGGGGACAAAACTGGGGGTCATAAATTATTTTTCCTCTGTCCCGCATGCGAAACCCTGTGTCTCCACCCTGTTTTCAGATTATTTTTGGCCCTTAGCCTGGTTTAAAAAATTTTGTTGGGGTGACATTATAGAAATTTCAACCAGGGCGGTCCCCCCCCCCTGATAGTTAACCACCGTCAATCCGTCCTGTTAATTATATTTCCCAGGTGCCTTTTTCATTGTATAATTTATCTAAAATTTCCCTGTCTCTTTCTGATGTTAACTCTTCCTTCTCCTCCTCCTCCTTAACTTCATCTTCTTCTCCTTCTCCTCCTCCTCCTTAACTTCATCTTCTTCTCCTTCTCCTCCTCCTCCTTAACTTCATCTTCTTCTCCTCCTTCTTCTTCTTCTTCAAATGATATATTTGATTTTTTTCTTAAATAGCAACAAGATTTACCAATGTAGCACCATAGATGGAAGCAATGAATTTCCTATTATTCTCCTTGCCTATGTCATCCAAGGCGGGAAATTGGTTAAAAAAGAAAAGAAAAATATCTTCATTCTCAAAGCTCATTTTCTTCCAAAGGCTCAGAATATGAAACGCTTTTTCTAAAGTCAAATCTACATCTCAAGTGCGATTTTTTTTTTACCCGATATTTTTCTTCTGTGTCGTCCTTTTAAAATCTTTTATTGGACACTGATATTCGCGACGGTGCGTAAGATAAGGCTGAATTGGGCTTTTTTGATTAGTCGATCGACTAAGATTCAGATTTTAGGGTTCGGGAGTTCGATTTGATCAGACCTCTTTGCTGGAACTCTACAAGTAGATAGTCTCAACACGGCTCTATTCCCTAACTGACAATAATACATACCACGTATTGGCTCCGTAAGATACAGAAAAGTTTGTGTCCGAAACAATTCACAATGAATTGGAAGGCTTTAATGTTTGCATGTGAAGTTGTACATTTGTCATGGGAAACCATATTTTTACTCTTGAGTTCATTTTCACAAATCGTCCTAATATCTATTCAAATTAAGGAGAATATTGAAAAAAATCTGAAAGGAATATGCCATTTTTCCATTACTGTAGATTCAACAATATTAAAAAGAAGAAAGAAAGGAAGAAAGAAAGAAAGAAAAATGAAAGAAAGAAAAATTAGATTAAAATGGGTGAGTTATTAGAAGAAATAGCTGTTATAGAAAGAAAGAAAGAAGGTTGTAGAGAAAATAGAAAGAGATAAAAAGATAGAAAATATAAAAAAGTTTATAAAGAAAGAAAGAAAATTGGATTAAAATGGGTGAGGTATTAAAAGAAATAGATGTTACATAAGGAAAGGAAGAAAGAACGAAAGAAAGAAAGAAAGAAAAAGAAAGAAAGAAAGAATGAAAGAAAAGAAGGTTGCAGAGAAAATAGAAAGATATATGCGAAGATAGAAAAGATAAACAAAGTTATAGAAATAGATAGACAGATAGAAAAAAAAGAAAGAAAAAAGAAAGCGAGAAAAGAAAGGAAGAAAGAAAAGAAAAGAAAGAAAGAATAGATGAGATTTTAGATTGGAATATATATTAGAAAAAAGATCGAAAATGAATTAAAAGAATTTTTTTTTCTTTTTGTTACTGTTTTTGAAAAACGGTAAACAAAAAAAAGAAAAGAAAAGAGATCACAGAAAGAAACAGGATAAAAGAAAGAAAGACAAAAAAGAAATGAAAAGTATGACAAGATATAAGGAGAGAAAAACCAAAAACAGGAAAAAAGACGACAAATCATAGAGGGAATTAGAAATAAAAAGAAAGAAAGAAAGAAAGAAAAAAGAAAGAAATATAAAGAAAGAGAAAGAGAGATAAAAATGTGATATTAGAGAGAAATAAAAGGATGAAAGAATGAATGAATGGAATCATATCGAAATGAATTTTAAGTGTTATAAAACAAAGTAAGATAGAAAAGAAAGAAAAGAGGGCAAATAAGAATGAAATAAAAAAAGAAAGAAAAGCAATCAAGCTACAAAGAAAGAAAGCATAAAATATAGAAAGATAAAAATAACGGAAATTATGAGAAAAAAAGAAAGAAATGTTGCATGAGATTTTAGTGTGAAATAGAAAAGAATGAAGAAAGTAAAAAGAAAGTAAAAAAAAAGACTATGTAGAAGGCTGAATAGAATTATGAGGAAAGAAAGAAATTGGATAGAATAAATGTATCGTGGGGGGATGGAATAAAAGCCAGAAAGAAAAAAGAAAGAGAAAAAGAAATGAGAATACCAGCAGCGATAACAAAAAAAATGAAGAGATGAATAAAAGTATTGCGAAGGAAATGCGAGACGAAATAAAGCTAAAGAACAAATGGCGAAAATGAATAAATAAATAAATAAATAATGTTTCTAAAAATCTGCAAAAGAAAAATTACGTAAATAATTCGTAGTGTTGGTTAGAAAGAAAATAAAACAAAAAAAAAACTGAGATGAGAAAAAATATAAAAGTTGGAGAGTCAGGTTTAAGTGGCAAGAAATTAAGTGAAAGAAAAAGCAAAGGAAATCGTGAATCAAAAGGACGAGTTGGAAGAAGAAGGATCAAAGAAAATGTAAGAAAGGAAGGAGAATTGGTAGAATTGGGATTATGAAAGGAGAAATTATAACAGCGGGGAAGAAAGAAGACTTGAAAAGATAGCAAAGAAAAAAAAAACGAGAAGAAGACTTAGATAAAAGAAGTAGAGGAAGAAGAAAAAAACGAATTCAAAATAGACAGAAAGATGTAGAAAAAAACATGGAGGAAGAAGACATATCTGAGTAGTTTCTTTTAGCGAACTAAAACAATAGACAAAACATATTATTAAAATACAGCAGAAAATACAGTTACATAGATTGAATAAAAAAAATGAAAGACGTAAAAGAAAATCAATTAAAATTGTAGGCAACTAAAATAACCAGGTATTTGACACAAAAGAAAAAAAAAAAACAAACCGACAAAAATTTAAAAAGACTTGCAAACAGTCACATTACATACATAAAGATCATACACAAATAAAGACGGAAAACAGTCGTCTGCTGCAAGCAAATTTATGAAATGGAGAGGCGGCCAGTCTGGAGTCTGAAGACAAAGTTTCCAGTTGTTGGCTATAAAAGACTCCTCTACGTCCCTCTATCTTTATCCGAAAAAAAAAGTGAATAGAAAAAATGCATCTTTATAGGGACCGAGGAATTGCTTCTCGTCAGTTTTTGCCTTTCACGAAATCAAATTGCAATATGGAACTATAAAGGTCCTTTTTATGAATTTGTTTTATTGTTCGGTAAATTGTTAGGCTATGGCGTATTATGTTACTGCCCATAAAACGAAGAAAAGAATGTATCGAATTTTTCAATGAAAAACAACAGGAAAACAAAAAAAAAACTGTTGAATAAATTGGCACCAAATAATAAATGTACAAAAAGATTGTGAAACATAACAAAATGAGAAAGGGACTAATAATAATAATAATAATTATCTAAATAATAATAATAAAATAATAATAATAATAATAATTGTTATCATTATTATTATTATTATTAATAATGAGAATAATAATAATAATAATTGAAAAACATTATTATTATTATTATTATTATTATTAAATGTAATATTATTACTAAAGAGATTAATAATAATAACAATAATAATAATAATTGTTATTATTATTAACTAGCAGCATGGCCCGGCGTTGCCCGTGCTTGATTAAAAAATCGTACGACACATACAGCAATCGCTATCACTTGACTTAAAATATTTTTGCCCTTCCTTGCCTTTAAAGGAGTGCCCTTTGCCGTGCTGATGTTGCTACATGCCTTACTTCTTGCCTATCTCACACTGCGAATTTTTTCTAAGCTCTATACTAAACATTAAATCTGTTACGAAAAAAGAACTAAACAAAATGAACACAAAACGATCAGCTTTAAAAAAAGGGACTCGTGACTGGAAAAACCGAATGAAAAAAGAATGTTAACAACAAATACTTTTTCACACCCAACCCAGTTCTGCGGAATCAGAATCAACGTTGAGTTTAAGCAAGCGAATTAGCCAATTGGAGTAAAGTGCCATGCAGATTTAAATTTTTCCCACTTGTGACGAATAAAGCTATCGATTTTTTTTTTTTCGCATGCAAGCAGGCTAGTTAACATTCGTGTCAGTCAACTGTTGGCTCTCACGCTGGCCAATAGAATCTTCCTGCCTATTCGTGGCAGCCAGCTATAAGCTCTCACTCTGGCCAGTAGAAAAGCAGCATGAAAAAATCGATTATTTCCACTATCGATGGGAGTTGGGAAATGCAAAGTTGGTCTTGGCCTTCCCGATAACTTGGAGCATGTGCATGTCAATTTTGGTGCAAATCCGTCGAAAATTTCGGCCGTGCATTCGTTACACACACACACACACACACACATTCTACCTTTTATAGATAGAGATAATAATAACGATAATAATAATAATAATTATTATTATTATTATTATTATTAATCTATTTCCCATTTTGTTATGTTTCACAATCTTGTACATTCCTTATATGGTGTTAACTTATTCTACATTTTTCTGTTTTTTTTTTTTTTTTTTTTTTTTGTGGAATGGCAGAACAGCTGCCCAATCCCCTCTTTCCACCTTGCATCACGTTGAAAATACCTGACTCCTAATGACCTGCTCTATCTTTACAGATCAGACCAAATATGGTGTATTGCTGCCGTATCAGGGCTGGGACTGCCCAATCCTCATTTTCCAGCTTGTATCACTGTTATGGTGAAACACACCTATTCTATAGTTAATTAATCCCACCTATAATAAGCAGGAGTAGTAAGAGTAACGAGTTAGTCGGTCAGTCGGTCGGTCAGTCAGTGAGTCGATGTCGGACGACAGTTAGTCGAATACGAAAGTATCAGCGACCACAACTAGATTACTCTGCGTAATACCTATTATATCAAGTTCCTAACGTTTTGTACGTCGAACCTATTTTAGGACCGTTTTAGTACAAATACAAGCCTCCACTGTGAAATAACTCCACAACAATCCCTTTAAAAAGTACATGACTACTTATGCCCTGCTCTGTCATTACAAGAGTCAGATCAGACCAAAAATGGTGTATTGTTGCCATATCTGGGCTGGAGCTGCCCAAGTCTTCGCCTTCCAGCTTGTATTACTTTAAAAAGTACCTGATCCCTCTGCCCTGTTCTATCTTTTCAAGAGTCAAATCAGACCAAAAATTGTGTATTGCTGCCATATCTAGCCTGGAGATACCCAATACTTACTGTCAACCTTGACCGAGTTCAAAACCTTACGTCGATTTGTAGGTCATGAACTTCCACTCCGAAATCTTCATCCCAATATGGAACATCGCCAGCCTTTCACTACCATATCGTGATTTACATTGTTCGGAGTGTTATTCTTATCTTCATTTCAATATTCATGACAAAAACTTGGAGAGTTGAATTAACGAGAGATAACTGATACTAAGACACCCGGAAGAAGCATGACACGTGGAACTAGAACACTCTACCCTGGTGGATGGAATAAACGGTTCAGTTTGAAATTCCAATCACCTGAAGAACATCGGAGCGTACAACAGCCGAATCGTCGTGAATATGGCAATAAAGATGAGGACTACAGCCCGAAAAATGTAAATAGTGTAAATAAGAAGGATTTATTTATTGTTTATATCGGAATTGCTTTTCTCTTTTTTTTTAAATGAGATTTCAGCTCAGATATTCACAGCAAGTAGATACCATGCCATGTTCACGGTATCCCGAATTCGCTTCGTGTTCTTTTGATAAAAACAAGTTCCACTCATATACATTCTTCCCCAGAACTGTTACCTTGTGCAAAGACATCTGAAAGAATGCTTTTCTGACAACTACAATCTTGGTTTCTTTGAGTCCTGGGTCAACCGATATCTATCCTACTCATCCTCATAACACTCTCTTACTTCCTCCGTCCAACCTCTCCTTATAATCTTACTTATTAACCTACTAGCTTGAGTGGACCTTGTGTCTTGTAACGAGTAAATTATTAATAGAAAAATGTATATATATAAAGGGTGTTTCATTAAGACGGATCAAAGTCAGCCGTCCGTAAGTGAATCAATGAGAGCTCAATGTAAAACCAGAGCTAATATTTAAAAGAAAAACAGACCACTTTTAGGTACCATTACAATAATTTATTTCACCAGAGTCCTTTGGTGAAAAAATTATTGCAATGGTACCTTAAAAAGTGGTCTGTTTTTGTCTTTTAAAATATATATATATATATATATATATATATATATATATATATATATATGTATATATATTGCCAAACATATTTCCAAAACTTATTTAAATGTTCGAGTCATTATTATGGAACTCAGGGATTATTCATCATATTAAACCAGGTGTAACACATTTGAACTGTTGTATCTTAGAAATGATTAAAGATATCTTACTGGAATTCTTCAAGGTTTTTATAATACTATTGGACTCTACTTTGAGTAGCAAGATCGTGATGTAATCTATCATAAAAGAAAAAATGATCATAAATAACGATTGGAAGCTCATGAAGTATTGAAAGGAAGTTCATATATATATATATATATATATATATATATATATATATATATATATATATATATATATTATTCAGGATCACTTGCCAACTTATCCAAGAAGATCCTCGCCCTCTCCAAACTTCTAACTTTCTGTCCTTGAGTAACAACCTGCCTCACACATTTCACGTACAATTTCATTTTCAAGTCTTTTTTCACTGTTTTTGGACTGTCATGGCTGAAACTCCTCTCATATGTGCCAAACGTTTTATGAACTGAGTTGTATCTTTTCTAATTGATCGCTTTAGCTGTAAGTTGAAATGATGATCCCTCTTCCTGTTGTGACCTCCTGATCCATTTTTCTCTCTACTGTTCCTTCTTTTTAAAACTTATTCACCATTCTCTTGGTGGTTCTTGAATGGACTTTGAAAATGGAAGCCAGAGTATGAATGTTGGTATCATTTAAAGGCCTAAATGATCTTTTTTTCCCCTCAGCATGGCACAGTTTGGAAAACAGTGGGTCTGAGACAAAACAATTTTAACCTTCTCTCTTTTTAGCTGAATATCCCAAAGAGTTTTTCAGTGATTCTGACGACAAATGGTGTCAATATGGCTAAAGCTTCACCTGAAAATCTGGGAAAAAAGAAACTCAATCAGTTTAGTGTTTTTTTTTTAGATAATAAACATTTTGTGGGGCGGATAATTATGTTGTTATATGACTTTGGACAATTTTACTGTTACAATCGGTATATATATATATATATATATATATATATATATATATAAGTATATAATATATAATATAAATATATAAATATATATATATATATATATATATGTATATATATATATATATATATATATATATATATATATATATATATATATATATATATATATATGATAAGGTCAATTTATTTATTAAAGACATTTTTATGTTTAACGTTGTTATTTATAGATACAAGTATTTAAGCAAATGCTCTGTTTATGATAAACAGTATTAAATAACATTTACCGGCCTGAATCTCCGAAAGGTTCTTTGTAGCCCAGAGGTTAGGCGCGTCAGCGTAAATGACGGTTCCGTGTAGGATGCAGGTTCGAATCCTGTCAAAGAACGAATATTTTCTATGAAAATTTCTCGGACATTCAGGCCGGTAAATGTTATTTAATACTGTTTATCATAAACAGAGCATTTGCTTAAATACTTGTATCTATAAATAACAACGTTAAACATAAAATGTCTTTAATAAATATCTATGTGAAAAGTCTGTATATATAATTATTTATATATTATATGCGCGGTACTTATTAGAAAGCGCTCAATATCAGAGATAGAGCTAACATATTTGGTTGGATTGATGTGAGTTTGTGACCCTGGGTTTCACGCTTTTGCGATCGTCAGACAAATTGATTAATTTTTCAAAAATTTTGTGTTTATGTACATTGTGTGTATTGGTGTTATTATGGAAGCGTGGAGGGGGGATCGTCGTCGTGATGTCATCGTGCTAACACAAACATAGATGCATGTCCGTACACCCGATGAGGTACGCAGACACACATACACACTCGCTTGTCCGCCGGGGCTAATGCAGATATAAACATATGTGGACAGTATGGGATTTGACATATGTATGTATATGGCTGGTTTTGTAAATACGCATTTGTATGTTGAAATTCAAAGATCGGAAAGTGTAGCGAAAATTTCTCGTGAATGTCTCCTGAATGTATCCATGTCAGCAATCAGAGCATTTTTCTATTTTTTCGCAGAATAATATTTCCTCGCATGCATGTATATACGTATGGTGGGGTCTGTGTAAAATTATGATAGGTAAAATTGCTATTATTTTTTATTTTTAATTTTTTAAAAGTTTAATATATATTATATATATATATATATATATATATATATATATATATATATATATATATATATATATATATATAAAGAAAAACAGACCACTTTAAGGTAACATCATGATAATTTAGTTCACAGAGTCCTTTTAAAGGACGCCGGATCATCAGAAAGGAAATGAAACGAAAAACGATTTTTTTCGTTTCATTTCATTTTGAAGTGCTATCTGATGATCGGCGTCCTTTTAAAAGGGCTCTGGTGAAATAAAATTATTATAATGGTACCTTAAAGTGGTCTGTTTTTCTTTAAAATACTAACTCTGGATTTACATTGAGCTCTCAGGATTTCATCCTCCTTGGGATTACCCATACGGATTACCAAGTTCTTCATAACTTAATATATATATATATATATATATATATATAGTTGCTTAGTTGTTAGAATGTTTGTCAATGCTATGCCTGCTATTCAACCCATAACGATGTCTGTGTAGAGGAGGGGGGTAGAATCCTACCCTACCCAAGGGTTTTTGCCCCTAAGTGATTGTAAGGAGACCGATTAGAATTCGGGTTCGTTACATAATCCTTGTCTTTAAAACAAAAGTTTCTCCTTGTTTTATCTGACTTCAGCCAACTTTCCATTAATTTGAGTATTTCCTCATAAAGGGATGATCCTAGTTTTGAATCCATTTTTTTCAATGATTTTGATACAAATAATTTCTAGGAAGCGGTGACCATACAAAGTGTCTTAAATGAAATGGAATGAATGAGAAGGCAACAGGACTGTAGAAATACGCTTCAGTTGGAAACACTCATCCCAGCTGCATGCCTCTTCTCGGCAGACATTGACAGAAATCGAATTTAAGCGTTTGATTTCCTTATCTGGGAAAAGATTCTGATTCATCATTCAAATGAACCAATTCACCACTGATCTTTTTTCAGTAATACTTTGTCCAGGTTGCAAGGGTTTCTAATCAGGAATTCCCTTTGAATCTTACCAAAAAAATAGGGAACATTTTTCTCTGAATATATTCCGTTTGGGTGAGAATGGCGACAGTTAATTTACAAATTGGACGCGGTCTTATTTCCCCCTCTCTTACGGATTATACACCTGAAGTAATATAGAGTTTCTCAGGTTTCAACAATTTGTAGTAATGAATTCTCTTTGAATCCCTCAAGAGACAAAGAACGTTTTTTTTTTACATGGAGATTCCGTTTAGATTGAAATCTTGAATGTGATCCGTAACCTTAACACAAATGTATTCATTTTCGATATTCATATTTGCAATGCCAATGTCTATGTTAAGCAAAATGATATTTTCCTGCATTAAGCAAGAAGAAAAAAGAAAGTGTTGAATGTTAACCAATATTTTGCTGTTTTCATAAACCAATATTTTGCTGTTTTCATAAGCTGGTATTTTTGCTGTTCCCCAAGTCGATATTTTGCTCTTTCCACAAGTCAATATTTTGCTGTTTTCTAAGTCAATAAATTGCTGTTTTCTGGCTTTGGGTTTTTAACGTTTACAGTACCTGCTATTTAGAAATTGACCAAGAATGACGTTGTTTAAATTATAATTACTCTTGTAACCCAAAATATTAGGAACAACAAAATATAACAAAACACAGTTAAATATATTTTAAAACACAACATTCGTTTTAATTCTCACCGACCAGTTTACAGCAGGACTGAGTTAGATAACAATTACTGTCTATGGATGGTGTATTATCCAGCAGCCATGTTGCTGTCTGATTGTACATCTTTTCTGTGAAAAGTCCATGATTAATTGTTACAGAAGAGTTGTCTCCCCTAACAATTACCATTATCATTTTAATTCAAATGCTGCAATAATTAAATACCGATTTATTAAAATAATTAATTTGTTAATAGACATCATGCATGCCTTTAGCATTTACATATCTTCCAATATATCTATAGTTATCAATGTTTCTTATTTCATCTTTCTCCACACACACACACACACACACGCATATATATATATATATATATATATATATATATATATATATATATATATATATATATAAATATATTTTTAAGGTGTGCTATATTTATGGGATAAAGTGCTCAATATCAGAGATAGAGCGTATGTAAATATAAATATAAAAGTATAAAAGTGAACAACGATTTTTTCCCTATTCTATGTGCTGTCTCACTTCAGGGCGTTGGTGATCATGGATTTCCACAATTCCCTGTCCTTTGTAGCACTTAATACATTTTGACTTTTTCCACATCTCCAAAACCTGCGCCGCCATCTATTCACTCAAGATCGCCAGATAGTTTGGTTTCCACTGTCCGTTTTACCTTTAATCTGTCCTGTGAGTATCAAATTTTCCAAGCCCTCTTTCCTCATGTGCCCTAGAAATTTCAACTCTCTCTTCCTGATGTTATGTATAAGTGTCCTTTTTGTTTCCATTTTCTCTAAAACTTTCTAGGTTGGTTATGCGTTGTTTTCTTCTATCCATCTTTGCCTTCAATCTGTCCTGTGAGTATCAAATTTTCCATGCCCTCTTTCCTCGTTTTCTGTTCTAGAAATTTCAACTCTCTCTTCCTGATGCCCTATTTCCTTTTTGTTTCCATTTTCTCTAAAACTTTCTAGGTAAATTTCATTGTTTTCCTCTATCCCTCTTTCTTCAATCTGTCCTGTATCAAATTTTCCAAGCCCTCTTTCCTCATTATCTAATTTCAACTCTCTCTTCCTGATGTTTTAAGTTCCTTTTGTCTCCTTTTCTCTAAAACTTGCTAGGTAGGTTATGCATTGTTTTCCTCTACCCCTCTTTGCCTTCAATCTGTTCTGTGAGTATCAAATTTTCCAAGCCCTCTTTCCTCATTATGTGCCCTAGAAATTTCAGCTCTCTCTTCCTGATGTCATGTATAAGTGTACTTTTTGTTTCCATTTTCTCTAAAACATTCTAGGTTGGTTATGTGTTTTTTTCCCCTATCCATCTTTGCCTTCAATCTGTCCTCTGAGTCTCAAATTTTCTAAGCACTCTTTCCTCATTATGTACCCTTGAATTTTCAATGATCTCTTCCTGATGTTAAGTATAAGTTTCCTTTTTGTTTCTGTTCTCTTTAGAATTTCGCCATTGCTCACATGTTCCCGCCATGGTGTCCTCAGCATCCATAATAGCACAATTTCACGCGTTCTTTGGAAAGTTAAGATCCTTGAGAAGATTAATCTGTTTTCAAGTTCTAGAGATCATTTTCGTGTTACGACTCTGTCACGTTGAAATACTGGTTTTAACAAAATCAGCGAAGTTAAGCAACAAGGAGAATGGTCAGTACCTGGACGACCGCTTCGGAATACCAGGTTTCTGTCAGCTTAGATTTGAGGTGGGTGTGATGTATAACGTCTCAGAATTAGGAAGCTGATATTTAACAATACCCTGATGATGACATTATGCTATGTTGAAATTACTCGGAATAAATTCAATTTGAGCCAACACGGTGTTTTCCTCTCGCCTTTTAACAACCGCATAAAAAAGCTCATTCACGAATATGAAAGGAACTTATCGAAAATAAGAAGACAGAACGTGAATAAATTACAGGGTGTTTCAAAAAGAATACGTCAAAATCATTACGCTGTTTTTTTCAGGTCTATAGCATTGTAGTGGATTGAATCAGTAGTTATTTGATAGAGTAGTTATCAAAGTTTGATTGGGTGTCAGTTTCACCGCTGTCTTTAGTATAACTTCCGGTGCAGCTGAATTGTGGGAAGATCAATCAAAATGGCGACTCTTCAGCAGAAGGCGTTTTGCGTGCTTGAGTACAGAGCACCCACATGAAACTGTTGAGCATGAAAGAGATTCCCCTAAAGTGAACGTCTTCTGTGTTGTGTCTCAAGACAAGGTCTATGGTCCCTTTTTCTTTGAAGGAAACATCGTTACAGGACAAACCTATCTCGAAATGCCTCAAAACTGGCTATTCACTTTACTGCAAGCAGATTCGAATGACTTCATTTTTCAGCAAGATGGAGCACCACCCCATTGGCATCTCGGGGTTAGAGCTTATCTGAATGAAAACGTGCCTCAGCGAAGGATTAGGAGGAGAGGTGCTAAAGATCTTGCTCTCTGTGCTTGGCCTGCCAGATCTCCGGACCTCACTGTGTGTGACTTTTTCTTGTGGGGGTATGTTAAAGACCAAGTTTATGTTCCAACACTTCCAGCAAGTATCGATGACTTGAAAGATCGAATAACAGCTGCAATCAACACGGTGGACGGTGACATGCTGAGGCGCGTTTGGGAGGAATTCTCATATCGGCTTGATGTTGTCCGCGCTGCCGGTGGTGGCCACATTGAGCACTTATAAAACATGAAATGAAACTTGAATGTATATACAACACATGTGTTCATGCTAGAGGTTTGTAATTTTTTTTCGTTTTTGACACGTCGCGTGATGATTTTGGCGTATTCTTTTTGAAACACCCTGTATTTAAGGAAACCTGTCAGAACGAAAACATGCCGCTGAAATACACGCGTTTTATATAAATTATTTACATTATTCGGACTATTGTTCTCATCTTTGTTGCCATATTTATCACAACATTTCGGCCGTTGTACGCTCCGGCCATCTTCAGGTGGTTGGAATTTCGTTTTATATATATATATATATATATATATATATATATATATATATATATATATATATATATACACCTAGTGAGCCAGACAAACCTACCTAGGTTTCACCTAAACGGATCGTCAGGGAAAGTTTCGAAACAGTCTAGTTATATATATTATATATATATATATATATATATATATATATGTGTGTGTGTGTGTGTGTGTGTGCTTTATATATATATATATATATATATATGTGCTTTCTTAGAAATCTCGATACTAAGCAAATAGTACATAATACTGTTTCTACTCATCTCAAACACATTAATTACCTATATCGTAATCAAATGCGTACTCATTATAAACAAGATAAAATATACTAAAAAAATTAGTAAATACTAATATATCAACAGCAGATCCTTGCAAAAAAATTAAGTTAGTCATATACTACACTAAATCTAGTATATCCAACTTAATTCTTCGCAATGATTCTTCTCCCCCGGTTAGCGATTTGCAAAAAACCAACATAGTTTACAAATTCAAGTGCCCTTTGAGAAATTGTATCTCCAACGAATTAAATAATATTTATGTTGGTCACACCACAAACTCGCTTCCACGACGCTTGACATGACATTTGAATGATAACTCTAACATTTTTGGGCATTTAAAACAACATGCCTGCCCGCACACACAATTCTGTAAAATCCTTGTCGAAAACACAATTATACTTATACATGAAAACAATTGTTGAAGCTATATACATAAAACAGTTGAAACCTAACCTAAACAAAATCAACTATGGAATCTCTACAAATATTCTTAAATGTCTAAAATTGGTAACAGAAGCCATTGGTTTCTACCAACGGCTTCCCATACTTAATTCTTCTCGAATTCACTCTCGCGTGGTCATGTGTGACGTCATGAGCTGCGGTGCGAATTTCTCTTCTAGCGTCTTATAAACACGTGTTTATCGTTGCTTGGAAATTATCCATGTAAACAGAAACAGACTATCATCACATTGTTGTCCGTGTATTGCTTAATATATTGTACAGTAATAGTCATCTTTGATGATGGCATATAAGCCAGCTTAGATTGGATTTAAAAAATATGGATCAATATTGTGATTTTTCTTTCTTCGTTTTAATGATAATGTTATTAAACTTATCAGACGTTATGAAAAGAATTTACATGAAATAAATAGACAACACTTGTCTTTAATGAAACATGTATATATATATATATATATATATATATATATATATGTGTGTGTGTGTGTGTGTGTGTGTGTGTGTGTGTGTGTGCAGACTAGAAATATTGATTTAATAAAGTCTTTGAAACTATAACGAGATTTTTCAACAGGTTACATATGTGTATAAATACAGGTTGTCAAATAACATTTCCACACTTTCCTTGATAAAGTTCCTATAGGAACGAAACGCGTTGGCATAATAATTTATCCACTTGTTTTTCGTTTACACACACACACACACACACACACACACACACATATATATATATAATTTGGTTAAATGTTATTTTTATGAATATTTATATTCGATTTCTAAAAGCTTTGTTAGTCAATTCATTTCCGTATTACTGCCCTCGCCATAATATTCGTTATCTTTTAGAATTTTTGAAAGGAATATCACATATTGGTTCCTGCGTTCAGTATGCATGATAATGATGATACAAACTGATGATGCGGGGGTTGAATACTGAAGGGCACTAACCAACATCCACGTCTAATATCTATTGTCTAGTTTTATTTAATTTTTCTGAGACGATCCTGGTCAAAGAGGAATTGTTTCGGAAATCTGTTATCGCTCATATGAAAAAGATGTCCTGCGCACTTGAGTTGGATTTTCATTAGGATGACTTCAATATTTGTCATGTTGCATTTAGTCAGAACTTCACTGTTTCTAATGCGATCACTAAGTTTTATGCTGCAGATCGTACGCAGGCAACGCCTGTTGAAGGCATCAAGTTGATTCATGTGTCGTCGATACAAAGTCCAAGATTCTGCACCATAGAGTTGGGATGTCAGTACTACTGACTTGTATACATCAATTTTTGACTATTAACGAAACATCATGTTTATTCTAAAGCCTGGAATAAAGATTACCAAAGGTAGAACTTGCCTTTTCAATCTGACAATTACTTTGTCCATTTTAGCATCA